TGTGGCTGAGCTACAGACCCTTCTCTCAAGAAAAGTTGGGGATATCTTTTTGAAGTCTCCGAGCTGTGGAGAAACCGCCCCATCAGCTGCTCCTGTGCTGAATACCCTTCGTATCAGGAACATGTGGCTCATTTCTGGTTTGAATGGATCTCACCCCAAATTCCAATCACCAAAAGCCATTACTCTGCCATCTGCTGCTGAAGAGAGCCTTCCAGCTGATCCCCATCTTGGTAAAAGTATAAATTGAGTGAGTGGCCACCCATTAGTGTTTCTGCTCAGCTGAGTAAAGGGTCTTCAGTTTTTTGCTCCAGGCGAAAGTTTTCCAGGCCTTAGGAAATCTCATCTTCATGATCTTCCTCCAGGTTCTCTGCCTCTTTTTTTATTTTTTAAGGCTAATCTGACAGTCTCCAAGAAGTTTCAGCTGTGCTTGGGAAAACTTCTCCATCCAGGTTAGCCCATGCATGGATTTTAAGAGCATTTTAACATAAGCAATTGCTGCTTTAATCTTTTCTTACTTTCTGCCTGATCAAAGTTTGTTTATTTGTCATTGATTTTGTTGCCAGACACAGAAGACAAATATTTAATAAGCATTTTTACCTCTTCTGTGTCATTGCTGATAATTCATACCATCCCTGTCTAATAACAGTTCTGTACCATGCGTACAATTTCTTCTGTTCCTAAGGGATGTAAAATATTCCCGTTGTCCTTGTCCCACTGTCCTTAAATTTTCTGCCTCTAGCTTCCCACGTTGGTTTGGACAAACAGTTAATTCATCGTTACCAATTTTTTCCCCTTTCCGTCAAATACATTGGCTCAAGCAGGAGGGAGGCTTAATAAGTTCTATACCCTAGAACTAAATGGGGCTGCCCCATGGTCAACACTCAGCAGACCTCTAACCAACACCTCCTCGCTGTGCGCTTGGATGGACGAAAGTAGGCAGCAGCTGCTGCAGGGTCCCTGGGGAAGTTCCTCAAGCTGTGCTTGTTCCTCCTGCGTGCTCCCGAATGCACGCCTGCACACCCTGCCCTGCAGCCTCCGCATTACACAGGCGCGTACGGACTCTGCAGACACCCCCATTCCTCCATGCGGTTTGGCCAAGAGTCCAAGTTTTTCTTTGGGAAAAGTTTTTTGCTATGCTTTGGGGTTGTTTTCCCCTCTTTCAGTTTTTAACTGAAGGTCTGTCTCGTCAGCTTGTGACAAGAGACGAGACTTGACTTTCTCCATCCCTTTCTCTGTCAGCCTTTTAGCCCTGAAGAAGGATGAGGCAGTGACGATCCTGTGCTATGCAGTGCTGGAGGGAAACTGTCTCTCGTCGGTGGTCACCGAGGCCTGGAAGGAGATGGAAGAAAGAGTCCTTGGGTTTGGAGATTTGGTAAAGACGCTGATGTCCACCTTTGATCCCCACTGTGTGCAGGGCTCCCCGCAGTGCTGACCACAATGCTCCTGTGGCCAGAGCTCCTCAGCACTGTCCTTTCAGGTGCCACCTCCTGGGAGAAGCTGACCTGGGTGACCAGGGAGGCAAGCTCCAAGCCAGGGAGCACCTCAGTCGCCTTTTTCTCCCCTGATCTCCTCGCTGCATCCACCCCAGGTGTGTGACAACCTCGGGCGGCGTCACATGGACCTGTGCCCTCACTGCGCTTTCTGCTCGCTGAAGAAGGAGCAGTGTCAGAACATCAAAAACCTGAACCGCGTTCACTGCGAGACAGGCAGCTTCATCACCTACATCAACCCTCAGATCTCAGCCCAGTACCAGGCTGCAGGCAACAAGGTACTGAGCATGCTGCATCTCCAGCCGGCCTCTGAGGAGGAGCCTGGACTGGGTGGTGGGGAAGGGGAGGAAGAAGCACGGCTCTTTTTATCCCACCCCTTTGCAGACCTCGGAGTACTACAGCATGGAGGTTTTCAGAGGGCTGAGGGTGGAGTACTGGTGCAGCCGGATGGCCACCCGTGGCTGTGAGGACCCTCGTGTGACCCTCTGGCTGAAGGCAGAGTACACGGCCCTCCAAGTCAGAGATGCCCCGAGCCAGGTGGGTGCCCAGTGGGTGCTCCCACCCATCCTTCTCCTCTTCTTTCTCTGGCCTTCATTCCCATCTCCCCAGATCTGTGACTCGGATGGCATTCAGCACCCCAGCTACTGCGCGTTCAAGAGCCACCAGTGTCTGCAGCAGAGCCTCTACAACCAGAAGGTGAGAAGCAGCCTGCACAGCCTTCTCCTCCATGGCTGGTCCCTCCACAGCCATCCCCGAGTCCCTGCAGGATTCACTGGCCCACTGCTTGGCCCTCCAGTAGGACACACGTGGGTGCACTGGCGGGGGGTGACGAATAGTGACCCAAGCATAGCTGGCGTGTAACTGAGGCGGTGGGATTTGCACAGACGCTGTAAGAGATGGCAGTGGAGGCAGTCGCTAATGTTGAGACAGGAGCTGTGGGGAGCCTCCCACCCATCGGTGTATCCCTGTATATCCCTGCAGAGGAGGGTGTCCACCATCTACTGGGCGCTTCCCAGGCGATAACAAAACCCAGAAACACCGGAGCAGGACAGAGGACTAGCCCGTATCTTAGGAAACACACAGTTGAACTATCATCCCCTCCCTCCTGCTTCCCAGCTGGTTCTCCCCTCTTCCCTCTGGTGCCCCTATCATCCCAGCCTCCAGATGCTGTCCATCCTGGGGGTCCTCTTTCCC